CGCCCGGCCTACTACATTCCTTAATGTATCCTGGAAAGAGTCTGTTCACACCTACCCACCCAAGGCTCTTAAAAAAAGATTGTGCTTGTATTTCGGATCCTGATTTTAAAAATCATAAGACATTTTTCTAGATATTAATGAAATTTTATATGGACTGAGTTTGATAATTTTGTCTAGCATGAAATGACATTGTACTTATGCAAGAAAATACTCATATTTTTTAAATTTGTAGGGTTAATACAATGTTTGGGATTTGCTTTTACATACTTTAGCCAAAACAAAAACAACAACTAGTAAGGATAAACAAAGCAAATGTGGCAAGGTGTTGACAGTTGTTGGACCTGGGTAACTGTCAGGGCAGATGGAGGTCCAGCATATCCTTTTCTTCTCAGACTTCTCTTGGTCAGTTACAATAATTTTGTCTACCCTGTCCCCATGCCCAATCTCTGCCAGCCTCTAATCCATCCTCCTCACTGCTTGCCATCATGATCTTTCTAAAACACAAATTTGATCATATTCAAAAGTAAATTTTTTTTTTTGAGACGGAATCTTGCTCTGTTGCCCAGGCTGGAGTGCAGTGGCGTGATCTCGGCTCACTGCCACCTCTGCCTCCCAGGATCAAGCAATTCTCCTGCCTCAGCCTCCTTAGTAGCTGGAACTACAGGTGCCTGCCACCAAGCCCAACTAATTTTTGTATTTTTAGTAGAGACAGGGTTTCACTTGGCCAGGCTGGTCTTGAACTCCTGACCTTGTGATCCACCTGCCTTGGCCTCTCAAAGTGCTGGGATTATAAGCGTGAGTCACAGTGCCTGGCTAAAAATAAATTTTATGGCATGTGAATTATATCTTGATTTAAAACAAAATAGGTCAGGCACAGTGGCTCACACCTATAATCCCAGCACTTTGGGAGGCCAAAGCAGACGGATCAGTTGAGGTCAGGAGTTCGAGACAAGCCTGGCCAAATGGCGAAACCATGAAACATGGCAAAACTAAAAATACAAAAATTAGCCGGGTGTGGTGATGGGCGCCTGCAGTCCCAGCTACTTGGGAGGCCGAGGAACGAGAATTGCTTGAACCCAGAAAGCGGAGGCTGTAATGAGCCAAGATCACGCCAGTATATTCCAGCCTAGGGGTAGAGCAAGACTTCATCTCAAATAAGGAAGAAGAAGAAGAAGAAG